TGCGAAGGTAGGTGCACGGTCTTCAGACAGATTGCCAACAAACATCAGGTAATTACAACGAGCCATTGACTAAAAATGTCCACATCCCTGGTATCATTCTGGTAAACCTTCTCTGCATGTGTACCAACACCTCATTATCTTTCCCAATATGAGAACTTGCAGATATGACAACAGTCCTGCAGTTGCAATCTGTCGAATAATATGCTCACACGTGCCGTTGACATTTGACTTGCTGTACTCTTTGGTTCGACCTATAAAATCTAGTACACGGTCACCTTTTATGTAGATATTTGGACACCCATTGACGCGAACTATATACGAGGTCAGATACGCAATTCCTTAGGAAATACCAGCCTCCAAGTCCAGTTCCTACTCTGCACCAAGCAAGGCACGGGCAGTTGTCTTACTACATTGAATATTGATATATAGAGATCGCAAACAGCAGTTGTCCCAATAAAAAAACATTGGATGACAGCACTGCAGACTTCCCTCCATACAGAAAAAGAGCCGTTCACCAACCCTCTCTGCTTTCAGTATCCCAGACAATTCTTTTTCTACGCTGTCACCGTCCCTCTATAACCGTGGACTTCTATTTTGCTTACGAGTGTCTTACACAACACATCCTAATAAGCCTTTTGAAAATCCATTGAACGACACCCAACTGACGAACCTTCCTCCAAACGCTTCGTCACTTCATTGATGAGATTTATCCGCTTTGTTAGACCATGTTGGCTGTTCTTTATTAAACCATATTTTTCTCAGTGACATTGTATTTTGTTCCCAGAAGATTTTAGTCTCTAGAAGTTGCCACACGATGAAGTGCCTCTGACTGGTCTGCAGTTAATAGGTATAACCTTCTGCCACTTTTTGTACAGGGAACTAACACTTGAATTATTTCCGTCTTCTGGCAGCACGCTGGTGTCCATAGAGAATTGAGAGATTTTGCTTTCAGCCTCCAATGTTTCCACCCCTACTTCCCTCAGCGAACTAGGAAGCATCCCGGCCGGTCCGATGCCTTATCTAGCAGCAATTTCTCTTCCATCTTAAACGATACTGTGGCATTGGCTGCATCCTCATCTTCTGTGACCACAGGAGAAACATCTGTCTGTTCCTTTGAAGATTGTATCCTCAATGACAATTTCATTGAAACTCTTCTCTGCATCCCACTGTCCATCCGTTTGCTTATGGCTCCTCTCCTGAGTGTTGTCATCACACTGACCGGTATTCAGTACGAAGAAAAGGTTTTTAAACGCCACACTTGCATGTGAATTCTGCACTGCCCGTCCAATCTTCGTACCACAACCATAAACTCTCCTTCTGTACCCTCTATAGCTGTTTGCTGACAAACACCTGACACGTTAGGTCCACGAGATCTTCAACAACAACCAATTGCGCTTATACACCGCCCTCCACACACGATAGCGTCTCGAGACCTGACTTGTAGACGTGGAGTGGGGTGCAGAGGTTGCTTTAAGCGAGTTTTCAGTGGATGTTTTTTCAGGTTTGACACGAAAAGGGGTGAGGAAATGGAACAGGATGAGTTAATGAGGAAGAGCGTTGCAAATCGGTGGGCGCAGTGGCTGAAACTGTGGCCGAACTCTGATGCTGAGACGGAAAGTGTTTGTGTCTTGCTGGAAGCTTGTGCCAGTCGAGCGGAGGAGCCGGGAGGTGGATTGGGGAGTAAGGAGTTCGGAGAGTTCGGGAGATTCCAGGCAGTGAATTGATTTGAACACGTTTATGAGGAACTCACAGACAATCTTTTCGATTTTGGGGACCCAGTGAAGCAAGGCCCGAAATAATATTAATAATAATAATCCTTGCATTTGATGTAACGCTTTTCAATTCGGGAGGACGTCCCAAAGCGCTTCAAAGAACACACTGTAAAGTGAATTGACTGTATATTTGTGGGCGAACGCTGCAGCCAATTGCGCACAGCCATGTGCCACAAACAGTATATGGATTGAAAATGACCAATTTATAATTGTTTTNGGTTTTGGAGGGATTATTATTAGGCCCTGTGTGGAGTAAGGAAACTTGCCCAAGGTTTCGCCCTCTGCCTGGAATTGAACTCAGGTCTCTCGCTTGCAAAGCGAGTGCTCTAACCACTCAGCTACAGGACTCCACAATGGTGAGCTGTGTCATTGGATATAGTGACTGGGACCTTATCAATCGACGACAGGATGGAGACTTCATGATTGACATCCTATCTGTCACAAGTTTCTTGAAAACTTGATTTGCAAGGAGACTTGATAAATAGTGCATTTGCAGCAATTCTGTTCCAAATTTGCTGTTAGCTGATGTTAATTCAGACCTGGCACATAGTTGCGTTTAAGTGCATCCAATAATCTGTCAATGTGATGAATTGCATTTACGTTGGAAGGGTTTCTACATTTTGTAAATATTGCATTAAGGTCTCCACGGACATATTCCACAGCTATCTTAACGGCTCCACACAAACCTGACATAGAAAGTATTAAGCGGTGAATCAATGGACTACGAGAAGAAAAAACATGATCCGTGAAATCAAGAGGAACAGGAATTTTTTTCATCAACATATTAAAAAANGGAGAATGTGAAAGGGAAACGTGAGCCAAATAAAGATAGACATACGTCAGACTATGATGGACAATAATGAAATGACAGTCCTGTTGAATGAATAGATTACATCTGTTTTCGTAATAGATTAAGAGCCCAAATTACCAGCGATAACAATAAAATAATAATAATAGTAATCCTTGCATTTGGCGTTGCCTGTATCACGGCTTCCAGAATTCTCAAATGGCTTCGCAGAATACGCTGCAGTGAATTGACAGTATATTTTTCGGGGAAACGCGGGATCCAATTACGCACAGAAGCTTCACATAAACCGCCGTGGACCGAAAATGACCAATTTATTATTGTTTTGAGTTGGATGGTTATTATTAGGCGAGTGGAGTAAGGAACTTTGCCAAAGGTAGCGCTCCGCCTGGAATTGAACTGATATGTCTCGCTTGAGTGGCGAACGCTCTAACCACTGAGCTACAGGACTCCACGGGTACACATCATTAACCCATATAATATAAGTAAACGGTTTTATTATCACTGAAAAAGTTCATGGATAAAATGATGGGCTAAAGAGAGAAAGACTTCCAGTTCCTGATTAAACGAACCGACGTAGGGAAGTAAGTTGTGGAGGAAATTGGGATCGACGCATTAATCATAATATTCCAAAGCTTCTCTGTATTCGGGAATTGTGCCATTGGATTGTCCAATTGCAAATTTCACTCCATTGCGTCAGAAGCGAGGAAGGCAGAGAGAGACAAACCAGGCAACAGGAATCTCATCGGCTTACGTTCAGTTGTGGGAAAGTTACTGGAATCTTTCATGTGGGTTGAATGGATTGAGCACTTGGACAAGTAATAGCTGATCAAAGAGAATCGGCATTGATTGGTGAACAGTGCGAAATGCCTGACGATTCTAATTGTCATTTTTAAGGCGGACCACTAACATGGTGGGTAAGCGATGGATGATCTCTGCATCGGCTTCCAAAAATATTTGATAAGGTTCCGCAAAAGTGCTTACTTTTATAAAATAAAGTGCATCGAATTGGAGGTAAATTGCGGTGCGTTCGGTAATGGTTTGGGTAACAGGAAGCAGATCGTAGGGATAAAGCCAACGGTCTCTGATAGGGAGGACGGACTAGCGATGTTCCCCCGGTGTCTGTTCTGGGCCTTCGCATTTCTTCCTCCCTTTTATTCAACTCTTATCATGAACGTCGTTCTCTGTCCCAATTTTTTCATCAAAATTTCCCTGGAATGGAGGCACCGCGCACAAAATAAGGCATCGCTGTCACTGCTTCCAAACTTTCTCTTTGGTGATGTTTGATTTGCTTCTTCATTTATTCCCTATTTGTTCGTTTATTTCTTTGTCGGATTGTTGATAAAAAAAATCATTTTATATGCAGACAAATGACGTTTGTGAAAAACATAGATATGTGTCGTCAAATTTGCAAACGCCGCAATGTAAGCCGCCGCATCAAACTGTGCAGATGGGTGCAGCAACTTGTAAAACGATTGGGATATACTAAACGAGTGGCCAACAGAGTGGCAAATGCAAATCTTCGTGGAGATGTGCGGAGCCATCCGTTACGGATCCCAAAACAGCGGAACACATCATTTACTGAGCGGTGAAAAATTTAGCACTGCGGAAGGACAAATGTGTTTGGGTGTCCACGTCCACACGTTGTTAAATATAAGCTCTAATTTGCAACAGAAGGTCAAAAATACAAACTGGTTGTTGTTGGTCTTTATCTCAACGATAGAGGAGAGGAATTGATGCTTCAAACATACAGAAACTTGTTCATCTTCTATCTGGAGTAATGCGTTCAGTTTGTGGTATCGCACCTCATGAAGGATATATTGAGATTGGATGTGATATATTGAAGAATAATCAGAATGATAACAGGACTCAAATGGATAAATTATATAGGAAGATTGCAAAAGCTTCTACTCAAATCCTTTCTGCTTCCAAGGTTGAGAGGCGCTCTGGTTGAGGATTTTAAATCGATAACTTGATTCACAAGGGTATGCACTGATGAACTGTATCCTCTGGTTGGGGAAATCCAAAATAGATATATTCACCGATTTCTATACGTTAACTCTCTTCCTCTCGCACACACTCTGTCCGTCCCCTTCTCTCTCTCACGCTCTCTCTCTCTATTTTGCTCAACCTCTCTGTCAATCAGCCGCTGGAGGCTCTGCTTCAAACAGGACAAAAAATAGGGGCGCGGGTTGGGTGTTGGGGCCGTAGCTGGTTTTGCGGCGGGGCTGCATTTGGGGCGGGGCTGTATTTGGGGGCGGGGCTGGGGTTGGGGCGGGGTTGAGTTTGGTGCGGGGCTTGGAGGCGGGCTGGGTTTGGTGCGGAGCTGGGGTTTGGGGCGGTGCTGGGGTTTGGGGGCGGGGCTGTAATTGGGGGCGGGGCTGGGTTGGAGGCGGGGCTGGGTTTGGGGTGGAGCTGAGGTGTTAGTTCGGAGCTGGTTTTGGCGGCGGGGCTGTATTTGGGGGCGGGGCTGGTGTTGGAGGCGGGGTTGAGGTTGGTGCGGGCCTGGGCTTGGAGGCGGGGCTGGGTTTGGTGCGGAGCTGGGGTTTGTGGCGGTGCTGGGGTTTGGGGGCGGGGCTGTAATTGGGGCGGGGCTGGGGTTGGAGGCGTGGCTGAGTTTGGGGTGGAGCTGAGGTGTAAGTTCGGAGCTGGTTTTAGCCGCGGGGCTGTATTTGCGGGCGTGGCTTGGGTTGGGGGCGGGGTTGAGGTTGGGGGCGGGCCTGGGCTTGGAGGCGGGGCTGGATTTGGGCGGAGCTGTGGTTTGAGGCGGGGCTCTATTTGGGTCGCGGCTGGTGTTGGAGGCGGGGCTCGGTTTGGGGTGGAGCTGAGGTGTGTGTTCGGAGCTGGGGTTTGTGGGCGTGGCTGTATTTGGGGCGGGGCTGGGGTTGGAGGGGGCTGTGGTGGAGCTGAGGTGTGGGGTCGGAGCTGGTTTTGGCGGCGGGGCTGTATTTGTGGGCGTAGCTTGGGTTGGGGGCGGCGTTGAGGTTTTGGCGGGCCTGGGCTTCGAGGCGGGGCTGGGTTTGGGGCGGAGCTGTGGTTTGGGGCGGAGCTGTGGTTTGGGGGCGCGGCTCGGTTTGGGTGCGTGGCTGGGTTTGGGGCGGAGCTGGGGTAATGGGCGGGGTTGTGTTTGGGTGCGGGGTTGAGGTTGGAGGCGGGTCTGGGTTTGGAGCGGAGCTGTAGTTTGGTGGCGGAGCTGGGGTTGGGGGCGGTCGTGGTTGGAGGCCGGGCTGGATTGGGTTGGAGCTGGGGTTTGGGGGCGGAGCTGGAGTTGGGAGCGCGGTTGAGGTTGGAGGCGGGGCTGGGTTTGGGGCGGAGTTGGGTTTGGGGGCGGAGCTGGGTGTGGGGGCGGTTCTCGGTTTGGGGCGTAGCTGGGTTTGGAGGCGGGGCTGGGTTTGGGCGGAGCTGGGTTTTGGGGCGGAGCTGGGGTAATGGGCGGGGTTGAGTTTGGGGCGGGGTTGAGGTTGTAGGCGGGTCTGGGTTTGGAGCGGAGCTGCAGTTTGGGGGCAGAGATGGGGTTGGGGGCGGGTCGTGGTTGGAGGCCGGGCTGGGTTTGGGGTGGAGCTGGGGTTTGGGGGCGGAGCTGGAGTTGGGAGCGCGGTTGAGGTTGGAGGCGGTACTGGGTTTGGGGCGGAGTTGTGGTTTGGGACGGAGCTCAGTTTTGGGGGCGGGGCTGGTTGTGGGGGCGGGGCTCGGTTTGGGGCGGAGCTGGAGTTGGAGGCGGGGCTGGGTTTGGGGCGGAGCTGTGTTTTGGGGGCGGGGCTGGGTTTGGGGGCGGGGCTGGGTTTGAGGCGGAGCTGGGGTTTGGGGGCGGAGCTGTATTTTTGGGCGGGGCTGTATTTGGGGGCGGTGGTGTATTTGGGGGCGGGGCTGGGGTTGGTGGCGGAGCTGATTTTGGGGGCGGAGCTGTATTTTTGGGCGGGGCTATAGCATTATTATTTTCATTATAATATATTTGGGATTATATTTGGAATTAGGCTTTTAAAGGTTAGGGGAGTTCACGGTTTAATACCCTTCTTATAATAATAATAATAATTATCACTATTCTTCTTTTGAACCAACTCATGATCACATTTTTGAGACGTCTCAACACGTTTCACAGCGTAGTTTAGTGACAGTGTTTTTACAGAATTCACTGTGAAGCGGTGATGAAAAGGTTCCTGAAGCTCAGGGCTTAGACACACAGAAACACACACAGAGACCACATACACACCCGCAAACACACACAAAGAGAAATACACAGAAACACGTACACAAATACGCACACATAGACCCTCAAAAACAAGCTCACACACATAGACACATATAGACGGAGACATAAACGCACGTACACGCACACAGACGGAGACACAGACAGACACACACACAGACGCAACACACACACACACACAGCCCGGGATCACAGTGTCCACCCAATGACCATCACACAGGACGCTCCATTCCCATAGTTGCACACTCCAGATCAGCTCCAGGGAGACTTGGTCACCTCCCCTCAAGGAGGGGAAGGGATTGACTAAACAGCGCTTTGGGCGTCTGCAAGAGTGAACACGCAAACAAATGCCAGCATTATTATTATTATTGTGATTATTATTATTGCTGAAAACATCTTCGTTGCCTTCCAGCATTCTTGTAGACGCTTGGCGTGACTAGTTCCCCACTTTCTTATCTATCTCTGTCTGTGCGTTTGTAAATGGGACAACACCTGGAATGGAGGGCGCTGTACAATTTCTTGTTTTTCGGGCGACTGTGTTTGTGTCTGTGCGTGTGTGGTGTTCTGTGAGTGTCTGTGTGTGTGTCCCGTTTGCATATATGTCTGTGTGTTTCATTCCCCTTTACATATCTGTGTGTGTTTGTGAGTGTTTATCTGTCTGTGTTTGTACTTCTGTTTTTCTGTGCGTGGTGTGTAGAGTCGGTGGTTGTGTGTGTGTTTGTGGGTAAGTCTATAGATATATAATTGTTTGACAATATTCTGCACAATGATGTTTCACAAAAATACAAGAGAGTTTCCCCTGGTGTCCTGGCTGACAACATCATCAACAAAAATTGGACGCTCAATTCACGAAAATTGACAGCCAAAAACACCTGCACAATACAATGTCTCGATACTTTCCAACAGCGGTGTCCAAATGGCGGCACGCGGGCCGCATGTGTCCCAGCGGTGAAGTTTTTTGGCGAGATACCATTTCCAAACTCAAACCTTCCGCTCCCTCCCTGTTGAACGTCCTCGTGTGGCAGCAGCAGGACCCGGCGGTTGGGAGGCCTCAGTGTGGAGAGTGGAATAATACCGGCCATTGCTGCAGTGGGTCAGGAAGGCGATCATTTCTCTAATCAATCACATACTTAGCCATCGCCAACTCCTCCATCAGCCGATAGTGATTGCCGCGCGGCTGATAACAGCAATACCTAACTCCAACATTGCTGGGGTCGACATACTTAAAGACTCGAATTGAACTGCAAATCTTTAGAATAACAAGAGAATGCAATATGACACAATTGCTTTGTTGAAATCAGACGATTTGTTTATGGGCTGATAAGGTACCTCAGCAAATAACAAAAAAAACAGAAGGAAACTGTGTCCAATTCAGCTACTAGTACAAGTATTTTACAGGATACATTTTCAGTGTTTATTGGCCACATATTTGTCACACTCTCGAAGATTTTCACATGTCTAATAATACCAACCTAAAGAACTTTTCTTCCCTTTACAAACAAACAAAGACCGATACACTATTGAACTCTCATATTTTGAAGCCACCTCGATCCTCTCTCATCAATAACCATACATAACGATCCATATTTGGCTCCTCCCCACTGATCCACATCTCTCGCCCTCTCTCCCTGTTACATTTCTAAACTTCTTAAAAATGCAATTTGCACGTTAATTCAACTCGCCTATCAACACCTATTTGAACAATCCATTCATTTGTTGTCTCTTCACCATTCATCTCGTGTTTATTTTGTGATTATAACAATTTTCTCTTCAAATAGATATATTTGGTTGCTGCGTTTTGACTTGGGTGAGCGTAGATCCAAAGAAATGGGGAATAAAATAATAATAATCGTAATATTATAAAAATATCTGGAGGAATCTTCACGGAGCAATAAGTGGACTTATAATCGAAACTCATTCATCTCGTTAATTTGAACTCTATTTCACAGAATATTCGTTGAACCACTTTAGGATGGCCATTGTGGTACTTTATGTCGATTGCCAAGAATAAAATTACTGCTGTAGAACACTTGAAATAAATGTCAAGTTACCAATTCTCTCATTAAATTATGAATCGTTGTCAATGTTTCACAAATTTTCACAGAGTGCCACACAGTTTCCTTTATTTAAACAGTTTAAATATGTGCTTAAAGGGAAAGATCACTAGATGTTTGACATCCTCTCTGAACTTAGATTGTGTTAAAGCATAAATGACCGTGTTTGTGCAGCAACTCAAAACTTTAAAAACGTCTTTCACTTGTTCGACAACATACACTGGGTCTCTGTAACTTAGATAGTAATAACTGCTTAACGTTCGCAAATATGAATTCTAAAACAGACATCAGCCACAAAAGGATAAAGCTGCCTGATATGGCGAAGAGTAAGATGATGGATCTCCTTCGATTCTCCAGCTCTGCATTATTGCCACTTCTACTTTTGTAGTTCAGGAGTTTTCTGCGGATTCTGTTCGCCGCTAAAATGTGTCGGACGCTCACTGCGTTCATCAGCAAAATCAGAAAGAATGGAACGGAATGGGGTTATTATTGTGTCAAACCAGTAAAATACAATCCATGTGAGAGATGTTTAGTAAGTCTGTTTGAAATTGCAAAACCAAGGCACTTTGTTCAGTGTCACTCTGGGCTCAAGGATTAAGTACCAGGGAATAGCCACAAAGCAGCTCAGAAAAGAAATCACTCCCAAAATCACGGCTGCTGTTCTCTCGGTGCAATATTTTGTTTTAAGTTTCACCCAACAGATGGCGACCAGTCGATCAAAGGTGAAAGCCACTGTGAACCACACTGACATGTGTGTCACCGCCGAAATCAACAACAATCTGAGTGAACACACGGGAGTGATTTCCAGAAATGTGTGATTGAAATAAAGAGAATGGATTTGGTACAAAATCACATCGTTGACGGCGACCAGGAGATCGGCGACTGCCATGGCCACCAGGTAGCGGGTGATACATTTTGAGAGCCCGCACTTTCCCCGGGAAAGGACCACAATGGCCACCAGGTTCGCTGAGAGATAAATGAACAGCACACAAACATATTTACGTGCGAGCTGCGTAAGTTGATTATATTTTGCTCAAACTGCATTCACACAGCAGTGTTCCAAAAACAATCATGGATTGAAGGGTGCAATATGTTCAAAAATATTTTTGAGGCATTATTAATCTCACAACGAGAGCAGAGAGGGTTCAGCACACGACAGTATCTTATTTTTATACAGACATCAGAAAAGACATCAGCGAAACAGGAGTCACAACTGGAGGATGAGAATTTGATGTGTGAGCCATTCGCAAACTTGTGCTACATCGGGACACAAGTAAAATATGTATTTAACTAATTACCTGAAATACCAATAGCTGCAAGAATAGGATAATAAACTATCATTATCCGAAAAAGTGTTGGCAGATACTGCCACGGAATGAAGGCTAACACTCTCAACATTATGTATCACCAGCGGATAGACTGTCAGTGCTGGACACTCAAAGCTGCCAGTCTTTATATGCCAGAACTGTCTCCACTGGGAATAGGCTACTTGCACAAATGATTGTGAAACACCAATGATTCTCCTCTGGCACGAACTGCTGACTGGATTCCGTGGAGCCGGTAAGCAGGATCTCATGGGGGCTGATCCAGCTTGAAGGTGACGTGTTCAACAGCAGGTCAGGGTGTGCTTGTACCTGAGTCAGGCCAGTTACATGTTGCGTTAATTGACTGTGATTGTGGATTGTGATCAGAGCTCATGAATGACGTTTGAGGTCACTGTTATAAGACTCGTTTCGCTAGCAGTCTCGTGGGTTGCGTATAAAGAAATGGTTGGTGTTGTCCTGGTCCAATATCCACCACAAATAATTGTTCTTACCCACGAGTGAGAAACCAATATTGTTCCAAACTAAGAGAGAGTGTATGAACCTGTTGCGCAATTTCTCTGTGTGCTAAATCACATAATGTTATTTCATAGGATAAACCTATGTGCTCCGTGTTTCAAAGAATCAACATTCCCTGCTTCAAGCTTCTGACTCCCGAGTGTGCACTTCTCCACAGATTCACTATGCGCTAACTGAAATAGTGTTTGTGTAAATTTATTCTGAATTTCACCCATTCAGCTTGGTGAAGACAGGAATCATGTCGCCTCGAAATCATCTTTTTTGCGGTGTGTGCATGGTCATTATAGTTAGCCACTTCTCATAGGCCAGGACCTTCATTCATTCAATCATATTGGTTGCTCACCTCTATATCCGATAGCCGAGGTCATCACCACGCTATCCGCGGTGCGTAGACATTTTGTCCATCCTTTGCCTCCTATTTTGTGCTCAGCGATGCAACGTCAACTCGTCCTGGGTTTGGCGAGAAGGAAAGCAGCTGAGTTATTTGCCACCTGGTGCCCTCATTACCCAGCTTTGAAGATTTTAGTTGGTCATCTTCAGTCGAGCTCATTCACGGAAAATAATCTGGACTGCGAAGGTAGGTGCACGGTCTTCAGACAGATTGCCAACAAACATCAGGTAATTACAACGAGCCATTGACTAAAAATGTCCACATCCCTGGTATCATTCTGGTAAACCTTCTCTGCATGTGTACCAACACCTCATTATCTTTCCCAATATGAGAACTTGCAGATATGACAACAGTCCTGCAGTTGCAATCTGTCGAATAATATGCTCACACGTGCCGTTGACATTTGACTTGCTGTACTCTTTGGTTCGACCTATAAAATCTAGTACACGGTCACCTTTTATGTAGATATTTGGACACCCATTGACGCGAACTATATACGAGGTCAGATACGCAATTCCTTAGGAAATACCAGCCTCCAAGTCCAGTTCCTACTCTGCACCAAGCAAGGCACGGGCAGTTGTCTTACTACATTGAATATTGATATATAGAGATCGCAAACAGCAGTTGTCCCAATAAAAAAACATTGGATGACAGCACTGCAGACTTCCCTCCATACAGAAAAAGAGCCGTTCACCAACCCTCTCTGCTTTCAGTATCCCAGACAATTCTTTTTCTACGCTGTCACCGTCCCTCTATAACCGTGGACTTCTATTTTGCTTACGAGTGTCTTACACAACACATCCTAATAAGCCTTTTGAAAATCCATTGAACGACACCCAACTGACGAACCTTCCTCCAAACGCTTCGTCACTTCATTGATGAGATTTATCCGCTTTGTTAGACCATGTTGGCTGTTCTTTATTAAACCATATTTTTCTCAGTGACATTGTATTTTGTTCCCAGAAGATTTTAGTCTCTAGAAGTTGCCACACGATGAAGTGCCTCTGACTGGTCTGCAGTTAATAGGTATAACCTTCTGCCACTTTTTGTACAGGGAACTAACACTTGAATTATTTCCGTCTTCTGGCAGCACGCTGGTGTCCATAGAGAATTGAGAGATTTTGCTTTCAGCCTCCAATGTTTCCACCCCTACTTCCCTCAGCGAACTAGGAAGCATCCCGGCCGGTCCGATGCCTTATCTAGCAGCAATTTCTCTTCCATCTTAAACGATACTGTGGCATTGGCTGCATCCTCATCTTCTGTGACCACAGGAGAAACATCTGTCTGTTCCTTTGAAGATTGTATCCTCAATGACAATTTCATTGAAACTCTTCTCTGCATCCCACTGTCCATCCGTTTGCTTATGGCTCCTCTCCTGAGTGTTGTCATCACACTGACCGGTATTCAGTACGAAGAAAAGGTTTTTAAACGCCACACTTGCATGTGAATTCTGCACTGCCCGTCCAATCTTCGTACCACAACCATAAACTCTCCTTCTGTACCCTCTATAGCTGTTTGCTGACAAACACCTGACACGTTAGGTCCACGAGATCTTCAACAACAACCAATTGCGCTTATACACCGCCCTCCACACACGATAGCGTCTCGAGACCTGACTTGTAGACGTGGAGTGGGGTGCAGAGGTTGCTTTAAGCGAGTTTTCAGTGGATGTTTTTTCAGGTTTGACACGAAAAGGGGTGAGGAAATGGAACAGGATGAGTTAATGAGGAAGAGCGTTGCAAATCGGTGGGCGCAGTGGCTGAAACTGTGGCCGAACTCTGATGCTGAGACGGAAAGTGTTTGTGTCTTGCTGGAAGCTTGTGCCAGTCGAGCGGAGGAGCCGGGAGGTGGATTGGGGAGTAAGGAGTTCGGAGAGTTCGGGAGATTCCAGGCAGTGAATTGATTTGAACACGTTTATGAGGAACTCACAGACAATCTTTTCGATTTTGGGGACCCAGTGAAGCAAGGCCCGAAATAATATTAATAATAATAATCCTTGCATTTGATGTAACGCTTTTCAATTCGGGAGGACGTCCCAAAGCGCTTCAAAGAACACACTGTAAAGTGAATTGACTGTATATTTGTGGGCGAACGCTGCAGCCAATTGCGCACAGCCATGTGCCACAAACAGTATATGGATTGAAAATGACCAATTTATAATTGTTTTTGGTTTTGGAGGGATTATTATTAGGCCCTGTGTGGAGTAAGGAAACTTGCCCAAGGTTTCGCCCTCTGCCTGGAATTGAACTCAGGTCTCTCGCTTGCAAAGCGAGTGCTCTAACGATTGGCCCGAGAGTCTGTCAACAGGAAAGGAGCGATCACGTGTCACCAGAGACGGATACTGGGCTGTGATCTGAGAAACGGGGATGAATATAAAGCTTGTACATCACCTCCCACCCGCCTGCCCCTGAGAGAGAGACCCGGGAAGCTGGGAGTGTTCCTGGACTATGAGGGGGGAGAGGTGACATTTTACAACGCTGATAACATGTCTCAACTCTACACTTTTAGCCAGACTTTCACTGAGAAACTTTATCCTTACTTCTATGCCGGTGGTAATGATGACGGCAAAAACTGTGATCCTCTGAGTATCTGTCGGGTGACAGATTAATGAGGAGGAAACCCTCAGCCATGACCTGTGTTTGGGTGTGATGGCCACCAGGCTGAACCTTTTATAATCTGTGTCCTTATCCAATAAACCGTGTAGTTTATATGATACCTTTCACACTGGGACCGCGGCTCAATCCTTTCTCGGAATCGACTGTGAAGCGACGGTTGTGTTTGTGAGCGAATATAGAGCTAATTTGCACAGAGAAAAGTCTAAAGTAAATCATCTGTGACACAACGACCATCAGGCTGGAGTTTTCAGCTCCTGATCTCGACAATAATAATCCCCATATTGCACACAGCTCCTCATCAATTCTGCCAGATGTCTCAAAGCCTATCCCAGGCTTTCTAAATCTGCATTAATCCCAATGATACCCATGGGATTTATCATTGACTTTCTGTTTAAATAATAAAGCGCTCTCTGTGTGCAACACTGGAAACGTTTTTAAAGCCCCCATATACGCGGTGTTCCAAGTGCAATAATATAATAAACCCCAAAGTTTGCATTAATCAAAATGATATAAATACGGTTTTGCATTAACTTTGGGTTTTGATTTTAATCCCACAGCCTGGGATTAACACGGGAAACGGGTGTAAATTCCCCCAGATCCTCGGGGTTTAAAGTGCATAAGTGCAAAATATTCCCAATTCTGCACTAATCCCAAGTATATAAATCGCTTTTTGCATTAACTGTCTCCCTCTCTCTCACACTCACTTTCTGTCTCTCTCACTCACTCTCTCTCTATCAATCAGCCGCTGGAGGCTTTGCTACAAACAGGAGACAAATAGGGGCTGTATATCTCTCCTGTATACACACAGGCTCTCCAAGTGCCTCTCCTGTATACACACAGCCATTCCTGGTGTCTCTCCTGTATTCACATAGTCACTCCCAGTGTTTCTCTTTTACACATAGTCTCTTCCAGTGTTTCCCTTTGTATGGCCGAACCGCTCCAACTGGCTCTCCCGTATATACACAGCCTCTCCCAGCACCATATGTGTACAGAAGCAGCTCTCCCAGTGTTTCTCTCGTACAAACAGCCTCTTCCAATATCTCCCACATACACACAACCTCTCCCGTTGCCTCTCCTGTATACAGACAGTAGAAAAATGTAAATAATTTTGATATAACATATTATATAAATATAAGAATATAAATGCAATATATAAAAACAATTGTGTTCTACTGCCAGTCTCACAAGCTTGAAGGAAAGCAAAATAATTCGGCAAAATCTTTTGTAAACCTCATCAACCGTAAGTTGTAATTAACACATTGATTCAGCCTTAGACAGGTATTACCTGGAAAATCTTTCTTTTCCAATGGAAGAAATGACGGATTTGGAATCAAGCAAACTTATATTGCCAATAATTTCATTCCTACTTGCGCAATAAATTTACCCATAATTAGAATATGAATCATTATTAAAAAACTGCATTAAAAAACTAATAAAGAACTGCAGACAGTGTTCGGTATTCAAAGCGAGGCCGTCCTCCTCGTAAAGGGGAGAGGAGTTTGTTAGGGCAATTTAAAACCCTTCTAGTAATTATAATAATTATCCTTGTCTTTGACCCAGCGCCTTATCATGATTTGAGACATCTCAACGCGCTTCACAGGATAGTGTAGTGATTGAGTTTTTTTCCAGTATTCACTGCAAAGTGTCCTTGTAGATCAGGTGGTTAGACACACAGACAAATACAGAGAGACACGCACGAACACACACACACACACACAGACAGAGACACACGCACGCACAGACACACGCAGAAACATACACACACCCACACACGCAAACACAAATAGATGCACAGCTCGGGACAGGCAGCGATCACAGTGTCCACCCGAGTGACCATCACACAGGACGGGCTCCATTCCCACATTAGTTGCCAATCTCCAGATCAGCTCCAGGGAGACGCTGGTCACCTCCCCTCAAGGAGGAGAAGGGATTTGACTGAACAAGCGCTTTGCGGCGTCTGCAAGACGTGAACACCGCAACAACAAATGCCAGGATTATTATAACTATTATTGTTGTTATTATTACGGAGAACATTGTGGGCAGTTCATCAGTTCAGCCCCACCCTCTGGTGGCAGTAAAGTGGTACTGCAACTTTTTAATTTTTTTTGAGCCCAGAGTAAATTTGAGCAAATGATTATTTTCCTCAAATGCACAACAGCCACCAGGAGAGATGGAGAACCAGTGAATTGCTCTCTGTGTCTGACCGCTCTCCAGCATTAGATGGTGATAACCAGACCGAGGTCTGAGCAACAAAATCAATGACATGGGATTCAGTGGGAAACGGTTTATTGACATAAATACACGGAAAGGTATGAAACTGGATTCTTCAATTATAAGCCAACACTGAGGCGAAGCTGCGAGT